TAACATATTAGGTAGCGCTTATATAATGTAATAGGTAGCGCTTATATAATAAAATAGGTTAATTACTAGAAACATTATCAAGCACAATAACATATTAGGTATCACTTATATAATGTAATAGGTAACACTTATATAATAAAATAAGTTAATTACTAGAAACATTATCAAGCACAATAACGTAATAAGTAACGCTTATATAATAAAATATGTTAATTACTTAATTTGTTATTACAACATATTAGGTAAACACTTAAAATGTTACCAAGGATAACATAACTGGTTAATTATTATTTTGTTATTTTAAAATAACTTGTACGTTTATTATAATGTAATAACATTATTTTGTTATTACTTAACTTGTACGTTATAAAAAAAACTAGGTTAATTGATTATAATATTTTTTATATTCATTTATTAACGTAAAAAATAATTGCATCTTGTAATTAAGTTTACAATGTAATATAATAAGAATATTATTTGAAAATAAATTATTTATGAATTGTAAAAAATATTTATTATCTAATTATTACATACATATTAACGTAATTTGTAAAGGACTTGCAAAGATTATTCATTTATTATAAGGATTCTTTTGTTTTTAATGACGTAAAAACTCATTAATACTTTTTATAACGTACAAGTTAAGTAATAACCGCTTATATAACATTATTTTGTTAATTATTTAATTTGTTATTATAACATATTAGATAAACACTTAAAATGTTACCAAGGATAACAATAAAATAATATTATTTCTTAACAAAATAATATTATTATTTTTAAAATAAATATTGCAAATTTACCTATTACATTATAATTATCTGTTTCGATGTTTTTGGGATCGATACAATTTTTAAATGTATCGACACTTTATGTGTGCACCTCGTTGGGCATTCATTCTGGAAAAAAGTATCGACACAAACTTAAAATGTGTCGATACATTATGTAGACATATTTTCTCATAAAACCGGTATATTTATACCGAGTACATTGTAAATTTACCTATTACATTGTAATTATCAGTTTCAATGTTTTTGTGATCGATACTTTTAATAAATGTATCGACACTTTATGTATGCACCTCGTTTGGCATTCATTCTGGACAAATGTATCGACACTTTTTAAATTTGTGTCGATACATTATGTTGACCTATTCTCTCATAAGATCGGTATATTTATACCGGTTACATTGTAAATTTACCTATTACATTATAATTATCGGTTTCGATGTAACATATGTGTCAATACTTTTTGAAAATGTATCGACACATATGTTTCACTATTCTCTCATTATAATATAATTAATGATATATTATTCTTATTATAATAAATATTAAATATAATTTATAATAATTTTATTTTAATAAAATATAATAATCATAATTTTTTATTTATAAAATTATAGATATAATATTTTAATAGTAATATTGACATAAATAATATTAAATAAATTATTCTAATATTTTAAAAATAATATTATTTTATTGTATTTGATGTTTATAATAAAGAATTTTAAAAAAAAGTGTATAATTTGTGTTTATTAATTTTATCATTAAAAAAATTTATTTTTACCGGTTTTGTTATTGTTGGGTTAATAAAACTGGTAAAAATTACCTAAAACATTATTATTTCTACCTAAAACATCAATGTTTTTTAACATTTCCGGTAAAATGCCCAACAATAACAAAACCAGTAAAAAAATAACAAAACCAATAGCACTTTACCTGTTTTGTTAAAATAATGATATTTTCGATAATTTTTACCGGTTTTGTTATGCACAACAATAACAAAACCGGTACATTTTTACTCGATAAAATGCCAAATAATAACAAAACCGGTATAAATAATGATGTTTTCGGTAATTTTTACCGATTTTGTTATGCACAATAATAATAAAACCGGTACCGCTTTTTTTTAGGCAATAACAAAATTAATACCACCTTTTTTTAACCGTATATTGAACGCGTCACGTGAGCATTCCCTAAAAGGCAAAAGAACGAAGTAAAATCGTTTGGTAAAGTACAGAGGATAGTGCGAGGTCACGTAATCCTCGGGAATAGTCATTTTTCCCTTTAGCTTCGACAAGGTTGATCGTTAAAAATTTAGGGTAAAATCTACAAATGGTCCATTAATTATAGAAAGTTATTTTGTTATGTTCGTTACTATTAAAACTTACAAAATGATCATTTTACTATTGGGCGTTGCTTTGTTAAGTCCATTGACTATTAAAGCTTACAAAATGATCATCTAACTATTCATGTGTTCCAAACTCGTCCTTTTTCGTCAAAAATTTACGACAGCCTGAGATGGACGTTAACATATTGATTGAGATATTGATGTGATAATGGCTCCACAAGACCTAAAGGAACTTCCTTTAGGCCCAATCACTTGTGCTAGAATTAATTGCTTCAAAGATGCTATTTCATGGAAATGCAATCAAGCATGGAAGACCCTTGAATCCAGAAGTGATCAAGCACCAACGTTGGAGATGAATCCAAAACCATGCAACGTTTTGCATTTGCATTTATATATATATATATATATATATATATATATATATATATATATATATATATATATGCATTTCATATGTTGCATGTGATTATTAGTATATTACATCATTTATAATGTTGTCACATGATTACAAGTGTTAATATAAGATTAGGCGTGTAATCCCTTCACATGTTATACTATATGATTATATAAGTGTTAATATAAATGTTATACATTTATATGAAACTAGTTCAGATGTTGATGAAATATTGCAAGGTACACTTACAAAAGGACTTGGACGGCTACAAAGGGGGTAAAAGGACACGATTCAAATGCAAGGAATGTGACTCTTCAAGTGTGAACGGCTAGAAAGAACGGAGGGACACTATTCAAGAAACATGATTTTTAATACAACATGAAGAGACACAACTCAAACATTAAAAGACATGACTTATCATACAAGATAAAAAAGGCACTATTCAAGAAATATATCTTATGATTCAAAAGTCATGTACATTTATTCCAAAGAACATGATTTGTCGTACAAGATGAAGAGGCACCATTCAAGGGGCATGTCTTATGATTCAAAGAACATGAACATTCATCACAACAAATGGGTGGAAAAGATGAAGGAACTTCATTCAAAGGATGCATTCATTCAAATTAATTTTTCAAAGGGGCGTGTACATCTACCAAAAGAGGGCGGTAAAGATGAAGGGATTTAACTCAAAGAGGCATGATCATTCAAGTGAAATGAATCTATTTAGTCATGTAATGGTCGACCACCTTTTGAAAGGATTAAACACCCTTTCACACCTTGTAAACACTATAAATAGGGTGCTTAGGTCTCATTTGTAATCATCCAATCTTGAATTCAATTGTGAAAGTTTTTCTTCTTTTTTGTTCTTATTGAACTCTATTGATTTATCAAGATTAATTCTTATGGCATCAAACACTCTTCCTGATGTTATTGATTCCTAATTTCTATAATTAGAGGATCACAGTCTGTGTTTGAAAGCAATATAAGATTCAGATTAAAAGTACAAGGAGTAAAATAGGAGATTAGTAGATAGTTAGGTATAAATGCCATGCAGCCACGCATGTTATAAGTGTAAAGTTGATTTTATGAGTTGGAGATGGAGTTTTGTGTAACACTACTTTCTTTAGAACTACAACACAAACTTGGCCATGATTTTAACATTTTCAATCAACTCTTGAGTTCGAACTTCTTATGAAAATTTTCAAAAATTGTTTCATTGTTATCACCAGCTCTAGTTCAATCAATATGAGAGCTCTTAAGAGTCGACTGATAATCACGTCATCTATAAGGTGCGACAAACAAAGATGGAATGACGTTCGACCTAAATGATGATGACCTTGTCGGTAATTACCTGAAGTCACTTCTTTGTTAAGTAGAAGTAGATAGTACGGGTTCCCAGGGAGTTGTTCATGGTGAAAACCTACTTTCCCACCGGGGTTTCACCTTTATTGCTTCTTGCTGTTATTGTACAGGAAAACTCGATGACGCCACACTTTTGAAGATTGATTACTTTAATAAATTCTCCGAGACCAACACCAGACAAGTTCCTTGCCGTGCAAACAATCTGATGTAAACCCACAGTGCTATATGATTATGACCCATTGTTAACTTTCTCACTGAGAGTATTAAAAGAATACTTGTAAGGTTTAGTGCATTTGTATGACATAAAGTGTAAGTGATAGCTTTTATCAGTTGGAATTTAATTAGGAACATGAGTATGTATCTTGAGGAAATGACAAAAAAAAATGAAGGAAAATGATACAACTTTCAATTCTAATTCGCACTAAAAAGGCCAGAATATTAATCAAAATAATTCCGGATCACGAAAATTTATCCCAATTATCACTTTGTTTTGATCACTCAATTATTTCTCCCTATAAAACCTCAACTATTTTTTCCTATATAATCATATCTAACATTACATTTTAATTACTCATCGTTAAAAAAATCGACATACTTAAAATCGACGTACTTTTTTATTTTTTTCAATGATGATGTGACATTACCTTATGATAACACATCAACATCAACGGTGAATAAATAAAATAAAACCAAAAATAAACACTATGTATGATTTTTGAAAGAAAAAATAATTAAATAACCAAAACGGAACAAAAATTATAATTGAGATACAAAACGTGTTGTTTACCTTAAACTAAATTTACCCAAACGTAATCCAAAGACTGACCCAGAAATTTAAAACTTAAATTGTAACCAGATGAATGCATGTAAAATCAATAAAGCATTAGGTCAATCTAATTTAAAGTGGTGGTGATCAAATAAATAATATTATGACCAAGGGATATAGCAGCCATCTTCTCCAGGACAATGTTTACACATTAGCAGTAATCTTGAAGTACTAAAGAACCATTTCATAAAGACAGTGCAAAGAGCAGTTTAGTTTTGGGACAAACCCAGTCCCTATTAGTAAGCAAATAATGCATCAAAAGCCTTGAAGTTTCATCCCTATGTATTGGAAGTTGCAAGGATAAACAAAAAGGTGACTCCTATGGTAACAATGCACCAGTGGACAATATCAGATATAAAAACGGCAGGCCAACACCGAAACACCATTACATTCAGGAGTATGTAATTTAAAATATATATTATATAAACTGGTACTAAATTAATTTCTGAGGGCCGAGATGATTCAGTGTATTGGAAGGCGAGGCGTGCGCACCCGAACTGGGGTCTTCGACGGACTTACCCTGATCAAACACGAGAACCAAAGTTGATTTAGATCATGGTAATATATAAAAGAAAATTGAGAAACCTTTGGGGAGAAGTTATGGAAAAAGATAATTAATCTGACCTTATGGGCAAGGATCCCAGAACCACACCACTACAGTTAAGGGCAGCAATTGCACTTTCAGCCTGCACAAAAGTAAGAGAAGCTTACAAATTCAAGTAGATTGAAGCAATCCATTCTCTGAGATGATGAAAACGAAGCTATATCACTTGCAAACATTACACCTCTGACAAGTCAATGTAGGTTTTACTAACCAAAGATAGGTAGGCAATGGATAAATAATTAACTATATTAATTGTCATCAGTCATTCAACCCTAAACCACTTCAAAATATTCCTTTGGCAGTAACTTACACAATCATTTGTTGATCAAAAGAATTTATAGCTTATCGTCCAAGTTTCCGCATTTAGCAAGTAAGCGCAACATAGTGAATTATTTATAATGAATATAAAAGACCCCAGAGCTATAATGCTTTATTTAGACAAGCCCTTATACTCTTTTACACTTTCATAAGCCCTTATCCTTTGATTTGTAACCAAGTAAGCCCTCATTTTGAAATAAAAAATTTATTTATGCCAAGTGTTTATTGAGGGACCTATTTAAGTATAAGTTCAAAGGTTAAAAGGTTTACTTAGTTATGCAAAAAGTACGAGGGCTTATTTAAATAAAGTGGTAAACTTCAAGATCATTTTTATTAGTTTAGCCTACATTATAAAACAAGCATAACAGCAGTTTCTAGACAATGCATACCATACTAGAATAGAACAGCTAAATCCTAGTATTTAAAGTTACTTCTTCGTTCAGGGCTTTAATACGCGCAAACTAAGCCAAATTTATGAATGGCCAATCTTTGCATCATCACTGATATAAGAAGCACCAGAGCAATAGTAATTGATAAGCAAGTTCCCTTATAAGAAAAGAATGCAGTCTTCTAATATTACAGGTGTACATGACACAATCTGACAAGTTAAACAGAAAAGTAATATATCATTGTACTCTTCTAATGCCTTTATCAAAGGATTTTTATGATAAGAGATTCATAATAAATATTGAAAATGTTTGGGAGTTCCTAAAAGACATAATCCAAACTGTATATGGGATTTTATGATACACAAAGTTCACCCTTTATATAGATGAAAAGAAACATGCATGATGGGAATAATTTACCCAGCTGCTTCACATCGCAGCATTGCATAAAAAGGAGGAACACATGCTATCTTTACTCATAAGAAAGATTCAATAGTGCAGGGCCACTGCTACATAAGCAACATACAACATTATTTGCACAAGTTTCCTCGTAAACAATAAAACTTGATACATGATTTCAGATGCAAATTCAATACATCTATTACAAACAAGAAAATTCTAATCTACCAAAATATAGCTCAAGTAGATAATTTTCAGCTTAACTTTCACACAACTGCCATACTTAAAAAGCAAAAGGAAATGCAAAGATGTAATACTGTCATAAAGCAAATTTGTTACTCCTTTCTAGATTATCACAAAATAGGATCTTCTGCTTTGTCATCCGCCTACATGTGATGGGAGCCTGTTTATGTTGTTAAATGGTGTTATCACACATCTGTTAAATATTGAGTTTCCTGTGGTCATATGCTGAAGTTCATGTCTCGCCTGGTTCGACTCTCTCTTCTATGTATAGGTTTTCTTTGACTTTAACACACAAAATACAGTATCCTGTAGGTAACACAAACGCCATACCCACTGAATGACCTAAATCTTTAAGATATAAAAGAAAGTTCATGCAAAGACATAAAAAAATTCATAACCAAAGAAAACTTCCTCAGCCGTGTTCAAACAATTGCATGAAGGGGAAGAAACAATTACCATTACAAACTCAACAAATGCAATGCGGGTAGAATGGTTATAGTCCCCTAGCAACCTTAGGCGATAAACCTACATAAGACAAAATGTCACTCTAAATGCATCCCAAACAGGTTTTGATATAATAAATAGAAGAAACAGCTCCAGGTTTAATAAAATAAAAAACCTCCCCACAGACAGCTTCAAAAAAGAGTCTAACATCATCATGAGTAACCTGCAGAGCGTAATATCACATAAAAAATAAAAAAATTCCTTCATCTGCAATCAGGATCATTTTTCATAATCAAAATTCCAAAATGCAAAAAGCTTCTCACCATCTTGTCAATGTTTGTACAATAGATAGTTCTTGCACACATTTGGCGTTCATCTTCATTCTGAAATAGGAACAAATATTTAACATGCTGAACAGGTGAAAAGAATGGAAAATGCACAGAAGACTCCAAATGATCAATGCAGGAATGAGCCTCACCCTTGGCAAAAATGTTGGGTTTACTGGTGCAATAGCTGTTTTAGAGGGCAGCACTTTAACTGGGTAGAATCCAAGCATAGTCCCTGCCAGACTCAGAGCAGCTTGTGCACCTTCTGCAAAAGTGTAGATATCTCGTTTAACAGTTAAATTGACAACCCCCAAAGTTATGCATTAAGCATGGTGGAAAAACACCTTCATCAGTGAACTCAACGAAGGCAAAACGAAGTACAGAATTAGGATCGCCACAAATGCGGCAGTCAACCACCTTCATAAGAAAAGAAATTCATTTAGATGTATTGTTTTGATAAAAAGAAAACATTTCAAGACGACCAATGAAAACAATCACCTGTCCACAGTTCACAAATAAACCTGCAAGTTGCTCTTCAGTGACCTACATCCCAACAAACAAAAGACTACATGAATCTAAATCTCAAAGATGACAAAACACAAATCGGGGAATCAATTGTGGCATCGTAACATAGCTAAAAGTGCTGAATATATATACATATACCTGATGGTCAATATCAGACACATAAACAGTCCTTCGGATAACCTCTTCCCTTTGGGCCATACTTGTCCTGGTGTTCAGTCTCCCTTTCCCTTGACTGAAAACTTTCTTCTGAGAAAGACAAGAGCAATGAACAAAGTATGGATTGAAAAAAAAAAAGATAAAGCAATGATTGAAAAACATAAACTTTCCGTAGGTAAAATTCACTCAAGTATCAGCAAGTCAAAAACAGGAATAGAAAGCTTAAAAGAACTTCATCGAAACTTGAAAACCTTCATCCTCTAAGCCCCAAACGAATTGATTTCATTTCCTTCTCTTCTAAATTTTACCACCCATATGACAAACAATCTTCATTTACTAGTAAACAAGGCAATCAATTAAAAAAAGGGGGTTTTGATGGCATACCCGCCTACCAGCACCATTGCCATTTCTTGGGATGCTGTTGTTTTGCAAAAATGAGTTGTTGGCGAAGAGACCCCCATTGATTCCATGGTTAGCAACTGAATGTGGCACGAACTCTTCAGCCATGGGGTTAAGTTTAGAGAATAGTTCTTGCAACTCTCTCATGTCCCTCTTGAAGCTATCCCCAACTTCATCCCCAACACCACCATTGCTCCCCCGCAAATCCACACCGTTAGATCGAGGATGAGGACCACCGATCTTATTGTACAACCCTTGATCGATCTGGTGCAAGCTCGGATCGATTTTTGACCCTCCATGGTTTTGCTTTGACTGATCCTGGTTGTTCATTGCTACCGCCGCCGCCGCATCTTGATTCGAAACATTCTCAACTACCGCCATAGCCTGATTATTATTCCTAGAAAAGCTCCCCTTTTATCAACTGATCAAGAAAAAGACCTGAAATTTATAAACCCAGACATCAAACAATAGAAAAAATATATATTTTTTATGAATCGAGTTGTAAATGTTAGGAAAAAAACGATAGAATCGTTTAGGAAACTAAGCTAAAGCTATAATAATCTCCATTAATATCGAACAAAATAACAAACCCACCTCGAGATCACTACGGAGAAAACAAAATCAAAATAAATAATAGCACAAAACAAAGTAAAATTGTTAGAGAAAGGCCAGGTTTTTCATTTCTTACAGTGTAAATTGTCTTTCCTTTCCTTTCCTTTCCCTTTTTCCCCCTCTTCTTATTTCTATCACAGTTTCACAGTGATTATCAATATAAGTACCGACAAAGAATAATAAAAATAACTTCTAAAGAAAAAATTTGGGTTGTTTGTTAGTGAAATGTAAAAGCTTTAAAGAATTCAAAATAAGAAATATTTTTTTAAGGATAAAGTACACAAATGGTATTATAGGATTCTATTTTGTTGATTTCACGAATATTAAAAATTATAAAATGATCTTTCATCTTTAGGGAGTTACTTTGTTGAGTCTCTAGACTATTAAAAGTTATAAAATAGTCATCCGACAATTCATTATGTCCAACTCGTCTTTTTTCGTTATAAAATTAACGGTTGTATGAGATGGACGTTAACATGTTGATTGAGATATAATTATCGTTTAAGATTATGATATCATACTTTATCATTTTTCACTCAGAAAGTTAAGGACACTCATATTGTCGTCAAGGTCGGAACTAGGATGAAGTTATGGGAGGGACAAGTTGCTTATATTTAAACTAACAAGGTCCTAAAAGGTAATTGAATCACAAAAAATAAAGGATTGAGGCTTAATTTCATTAATTTCAAAATTTTCATGTCTTAAAAAGTATTTAAACCATAAAAGTTAGGCAAAACTTAATTTCATTTAACTTTATAACTCATAATGGCTTAAAAAATAATTAAACCAGTAAATTTTGGGAGGATTAGAACATAATTTTAATGGCTTCAAAAATTTTAATGGCTTAAAATACAATTAAACTATAAAAGTTGAGGTGGCCCTCTTTAGTCCCAGTGATTCCGACACTGATTTTTATTAATTTTTTTTAATGAAAAATGATAAGTTTATAACATAATGAATAATCAGATAACTATTTTATAACTTTTAATAGTTAAGAGAATAAAAAAATAATATCTTATAATTATGAGACCATTTGTATAATTTATTCTATTTTTAACCTTTCCTCCTTACATGTCGATGAATGAATGATGTCATGGATTTCAGTGCATGTATCATACTTTGCCACATCCATCATGCGTCTGTATTATAACGTGTCATGTTATTGGTGGCTAACCAAATCAAATTAAGAATCTTGACTTCATCTTTGCCAGCGATTTTGAATTCCCTTTCCTAAACTGTAAATTAAATAAATTATTTTGATAAAAGGATAAATAAATTATAATCGTCAAACTTAGGCACTTAAAGTAAGTAATAAGTAAATATCATTTATTGCATGCTAAGAATTTGAAGGCCATCGTTAGAAATTTCTTTTTACCAATATACATTCAAAAAGAGATTAAAAGTTATTGTTGAATATACGATGTTCAATTACATGCTTTTTTTTACTTTGATTTTATTTTAGTATATGAATGCAATATTGGATTTAATAATTTTTTTAGTTTCTTATTGTTGTTGAAAAGTGTTTTCAAGTATATGAATGCAATATTGGATTTCATTATTTTTTAGTTTAGTGTTGCTGTTGAAAAGTGTTTTTTAAAAAGTGAGGTTAGAAAATAATTTTTTTTAAAGTGCTTTTAAAAAGTTCGATGTAGAGTTTAATTATTTGTGATTGTTGTAAGAAAAACACTTTTGAAGAGATAAAATATCTATTTTAGACATTATGATATAAAGTAAATATATACTAGTTTAAATTATATTTAAATTTATTAATATTATAATATATAAAATGTATCAACATATAATATAATAAAAGTATATTTTATGATAATTCATTAATAATAATTTTATATATAAAATACTTTTTTTTAAAACAATGAACACCGTAATTCCAATATCAATCGGTTGACCTTGAGTCCCTTGGAAAACCCACAAACACCAACACATAAAAGGAATTAGGCTGGGGAGGTAATTTCAATGTATTCTCATTGGAAGCTCCAAGTCAAACCACCTTTTAAAAAATCCAAAAAAAAATCATTTCTCGGATAGTAATAGAACAATGAAGATCTCCAAGCAGCTTGAACAAATGGGGAAAAAAAAGAATAAGACATCTGGAAAAAAGAATAAGACATGTTCAAAGGATCATGACTTCTACTCAAATTGAGGGCACATCAAAGATAAATGCTTTAGTCTAGAGTTGTGACACCCCAAATTCGACTTAGGAATTTCATCCATGTATTGTCTTAAAAATTGGAACTTCTTAATTCAAAATAGAAGAACTATATTAAAATGTTCAAAGGGTGATATGTGACTATAAAGAGTGTGTCGTAACCATTCTTCGGGTGGGCCCGAAATCGGGTTTCGACTTAAATTAATGTGTTAGAGCTGCCACCGGTCATTTAAAATTAGGTTGATCGGACACCTTCACTTACAATTTGTTTGATCTTCGTTTTACCATAAATTAATCGGATTCGGAAGTCGATTACAGTCAAGGAAGAATTAGAACCCTAGTACTTCCCTTTCGGTACCGATTTGATTTTTCGGTTGTCTTAATTGCGATAATTAAAAGTTAAATTAAAATTTAAAAGTTCAATTCGAATTACTTACCTATGACCAATTAAAATTTTCCTAAAAAACCAAATTAATGTTAAAGAATAAAATAAAAAAAATGAAAAATATTAAATTAGGAGAAATATTAAAGAAGGATTAAATTGGAAAATATTTGAAACTAAGGGTCAAATTGAAGTTAATTGGAAGCTACAAGGTGAAACATAAAAGTTAGGGGTTAATTTGCTAAATATAAGTAATATAAACAGAGATTAAATTGAATAAATTCAAATTTCAAGGGCAAATCTACAACAGTGACCAAGACGAATTACGCTTAAAAACAGTAGGGATTGTAGAAATAATTTATCTTTCTTGTAATTACACTAAGGCCCTCGCTATAAATATCCCTAAAATCTTTAAAAAATCATTTCATCCTAATTCTAAAAAAATACTCCCCTATCTCTATTTCCTATCAACCAAACCAACTGGCCTAATGGCCGACCACCCTCCAGTGGAGCCCTATCGCCGCCATCAGCCACACTGGCCACCACCTTCGATGGCCGAAAAAATACTAAACTAACCTAAATGCTCCCCTCAACACCCGAAGCAAGATCCGAGCCCCAAATCCCAATAAAACACCTCTATCGGCGTAGATCTAAACCAAATGGTCTCGGGTTTTACTTTTTTTTTCAACATGCTCCTTTATTCTCCAGTGACTTTTAGCTTCCTCGCGACCGTGCTTCCCTCTGCCTAGCAGCCTTTAATGAAAGCTTTGACTTTTTGTGATGATTTTAGTATAATCGAACGTTTTTTGTCTTGTTGTTTGGTTTGGTTTGCTTCAATTTGTTGTGTGTTCTAGGTTTTTGTTATTAGATTCCCCCTTTTGCTTCTATGGCCCTTGAGGTTTATATAACCCTCCCACCGGTGGTTGTTTTTTTATTATCCTGATATGGTTCAGTCCCGTTTTTCAGTTTAATCGAACAGTTTATTACTGCTCGTTGTTGGCCAACTATTTCATGATGGTTCAGTCTCGATTTACTTTCGATTTTGAGATTTTTCGACCGGGCATTTTGGCCGATTGGTGGCTTGGTTGGCGCGTACCCACCACGTGCCATTGAATGGTGACCGTTGGGTCTCTTGATGTCATCTGGACCGTTAGATTAAAGGATTAGATCTAAAGGCCCTCATGCGGTTGCGCGTGTGATATTTTTTTTAGGGTTTTATAACCCTAATTACTTTCAATATGGACCCTTGATTCACGCTTTGATCCAACGACTATAAGTCGTGAGATGCCCTCACTTAAGTATAAAATCCTAGCTCGCTGGGCAGGCAATTTGGGCTTTGAACTGTTCGGCTCTTCCTGGGTTTACTAGGTCAAACTACCCGGTTGAGCTCCGTTTTTAGACCTTGGACTTTATTGGACCTGAATAATTAAATATATACTCTAATATAAAACGAATAAAGAATATAATAAAGAATATTTATAAAATAATAATAATAATATAAAACTAATATTAATAATATATACTCTAATATAAAAATATAATATATAAATATATATTATGATATACATAATATAATATAATACCATATAATACCATATAATAATATATATATATACATATTGTATACTGTAAATATACAATATAATACTATATAATAATAATAATATATAATATATATAATATATAATATAAATATATATTATAATACTATATAATAATATAATATATAAAATTTTTACTATATAATATAATATAATAATATATAATACATAATATATAATATATAATATAACAATATAATTTATAATATAAAGTATATTACTACTATATAATATAAGGCTAATATATATATACTATATAATATAATCTTTAATATATAACATGTATATAATATAATATTATATAATATATTATAATATATATAATATATATTGTACACTATATATACTATATAATGTATATATAAAAGGTCGGACGAAAATGAGTGTCTACAACTGCCCCGTTTTGCCCATTGTCGTGTAACGGGAATAGGGCAAAGATTAAAAAACATTTTTGTCTATCAACTCAGGTTGTGATTGGTTTGTTGTAATCAATTTGAACTGAATTATAGATGACTCCCTCGTCGTGAAGTTGATTTGATCATGAGATGACTTTTTGCACGATATCCTTCGTCATGAAGTTGAAATCTTGGTTAACCCCTTCGTTGTGAAGTCGAGTCAATCTTGGATGTTTCGAGCATGATATCCTTCATTGTGAAGTTGAAATATAACTCGATGTCTGGGCTGGGCGGCAATTCTTCGCCGTTGTTCTTGGATCTTCTTCTAATCCAATAGTTCTTCGTTATGGGTTGAACTATGTTGTTAATGACTCATTAATTGTAAAGTTTAGTCAATCTCGAATGTATTAGGCACAATATCCTTCGTCGTGAAGTTGAAATCGTGGGTGACTCCATTGTGATGTTGAGTCCAAATTGAATGTTCATTTGAGTTGGTTATCATTTTTTGTGAAGTTGAAATATGAG